CCATAGTAGCATGGCATTGATAGAAAATTCTCCATCTATACCACAATATCTCTAGACCCTATAGCATCTTCCCTTTCCCCCATCTCTCTCTGTCTCTCAAACATGTACAAATCCCAACACGAAAATGATATGGCACTCATGACCTAATCACCGCATCCCGCCTCCCCTTCCTCCTTACCCTTGAAACCGACACAGCAAGATTCCATTGCTAGCTACAATGAGCTCCCCTCCTCCACCCCCTCTTCCCGAGGCTTGTTCTATTACCACGGCAATTGCTCCTGATCTCTCCCTTCACATCAGCCCTCCGTTGCCGGACGCGGTGGTCGGCGACGACGGTGAGGTGCGGCTGGGGCTCCATGAGGTGGCGTCCAAGAGGTACCGTGGCCTGGAGGAGATGCTGCACCAGCCGAACAAGGCCCATGGGTTCAAGAAGAGCTCGTGTCCTGCCGTCGGCGGCAGCGCTGTGGCAAGGCCGGCAGCTGGTGGCCGGAAGAGGAGCTCGAGGGCTCCTAGGATGCGGTGGACCACAGCGCTGCACGCACACTTTGTGCGTGCCGTGGAGCTCCTTGGTGGCCATGAGAGTATGTTCATATAAAATCTCAAGATCGTTTAACTAACAACTAGGGTATTTAATTATACACCAGTAGATGTGAGTGCTTGATGTGATGGTTTTGTTTCTCTGTTGGTATTTGAGCAACGTGGGTTCCTCAGCCTGAATGGGTAATTGATTAATTAGTAGCTGATATAATCAGATGATCTCTTGCCAATTGCCTTTGGGGAGTCTGCATGGTGTTTCCTTTGGTGCCCTTTTATTTGATCTTTAGTGTCTTCTGCATGTTAATTTTCCAAGAAGGTTATGTCCTATGATTCCCATCTGTCATCAAATGAGTAGAGTGCCATACAAATTCATTCAAATTTCCGCATTTGTGCTCAGTTTAATTTCCATCTATGCATGATTAACCCTTATTGGTCTCTAAAACTCGTTCCCTTTTCATTTGAAACGACATCTTGTAGGAGCAACACCAAAGTCAGTATTGGAACTGATGAACGTGAAGGATCTTACACTCGCTCATGTTAAGAGCCACCTGCAGGCAAGTAATAACTATTACAAAGTCTTCTCTCCTACCATAAGTTTTCACCTACATGTATTCATGTATTTGCTAGCTCAAACATCTTTTTCTCACCGTGCTAACTTCCGATCACTCAAAAACAAAACGATGGAATGCATATAGTAGCCTCTTGTTGTTAGTTGATACCAAGTACCTGTTGTCCTTTTTTGTCTCTAGTCTTGTGCCCTAAATATATGCACACCCCATAACTAATTATTCTGGACTTATATGTCTTAAAAACACAAATAGCAGCAGAATAGATTAAGCTAATTAATTTCCATCTTCATGTTTTTCTACTTGATTTCTTGCATGCAGATGTATAGAACAGTGAAGGGCACAGAAAGATCATGCGCTGCAGGTAAACCACATGGTGCCTAGATCTTTAACACCTTCTTGTCCTTGAAATTAATTTCATGGCTTGAGTTAATTTATCCAAGGTCATGTCACACACAGTGATGAACTATTGGCATGGGATAAGTGTGTGCCATCTCTAGCTAGCTAGCACCTATAGCCTGTGTGACCCATAAGGCACAACTGTACAGCTAGCTTGTACACAAATGCTTGTATTTTGTAGTGTGATAAGACACATGCACTAATTTAACTATATATATGGTGTGGTTGCAGGCCATGGCCAGACCAGAGATATGGGCTTTCTGAGAAGGGTTGTCGCTGGTGATGAACTGGTCAATGGCTTTGATGGGTTCAACAGCAACATGGTCAACACAACTTCCAATAATACAACTCCTAGGTTTGTACATTAATCTGGTATGATCTGACTGGGTTTATTGATTAAATATAACTGTTGTTGATTAATAATGGTTGTTTTGTTTCATATCTCTTGGCCTTTATGGCACACCAAGTCTGCAACCTGCTTCCTGCACTTGGAGCATGGATGCATGCGTTGTGCTTGCATTTACATCACCTGTGCCTCATTTTAATACTCTGTTGCCTTGTGTGACAGCCGAATATGTGTAGAGATTAAATTGGGATGTCAGCATCTAGAGGAATTTGAATGCACTATTTTAGTCGATGCGGTCAGCTTGGAGTATATATCTATCACATGCTGCAGAATCCAGCTAGTCCTTATATAGACTAAGGTTTCGGGTTTTAATAATGCACAATTGAGTAGTTAATTAACTGCTAGACAAAGGACTGGTATGCGCAATTGGTATGCTTTTGCCACATTTCATATTCACAAGTAGTGGAAACACACATGCATGTATTTTTTCCGAAAAGGACGATAACACTCTGAGCCTCTGCACGAAGAGATACGCACATCCATGTATTATCTGATTATTTCAGAATGTCAATGCAAATACATGCATGTATATATGCTACTTGGTTGATTTTAACAGCAGATGCTCTTTAACTTCGCATCGCTTGGTTTGATATGAATTAATGTTTTTTGCTTAAAAATATGAGCACTGTAAATTTAGTTATGTGTGTGTGGTTGATCTTATTGGCCTGTGGCATATAATGCCATCAGCCCATCATTAGAAACCACATGAGTATATCTTGACATAAATTGAAAGTAGAACTTTTATAATTTGATCACTATCTTGAACACATCAAAGTGCCCTTTGAGTCTCTAGCCAAGTTACTTAACCATGCATGCATTATGAGTTTTTTTTGTTTGAGAACCATGCATTATGAGCTAGTACATAGGGACGCACAGCCTTTCCAGCCTCTCTATCATATCAGTTCCTTTTGTCGGCTGAAATGATGAAAATCTCCATCATATACACTTTACCGGGTCACCCCTCAGTCCATGCCCCATCGATCAGCATCTCTTTCGCTAACGTCTATCATGACCTCTCTCCTTCCTTACGGAGAGCAAGCAAGCATAGCTAGCTGTAGGAGGCAGTTGTGCTTGTCTCCTGCACTGCCACTGTACCATGTGCTCCTGATTTTCACACTCCCAAGCATGCACGCATGCATGCATGCAGCACACTTCCAACCTTCTCCGTCATCTCTCTCCCCTTATGAGTTGCATGCTCCTTGTGAGTCATGATGCACGGGGAGACATTTCCCCTCCTACTCTGATAATTCGCACCGAAATAAATGTTCTGGGTGGTTTTTTCTGCGTGAGTGATCAGAGCATGCAGCTGCGGTTGCGTTTGTGGTTGATCAGATCAGATGATTCAGATCCATATCAATTGCCCCTCTGCCTCTGGTGGCCGGCCCTATCAGGGGGTTGCGCCAATGTCTGTTGGAATCTCGCAAGCAACAGGTAGAAGAAGACAAGGGCAACTCCATTGGCCTTGACCAGGGGAAAGCCTGCCCTGCCATTTGCTGAAATAGTGGCGAGCATGGACAAGCCACTTGGCAGCGCGTACACTAGCGGAGCTAGCCAGACTGATCGATGTGTGGTGTGGTGGCCATTTTGTTTGGAAACCTCCATGCACGTCTCTCCAACTCTCCTCTCCTTGCTACGTACATGGTCATATCTCATGCACAGCTACCTAGATCCTCCAACTTCAAGACTTGGATTTTAATTTTTTTTCTCCATAACAGCCGTGGCAGAATAATATACGTATGACATGATCCCCCTCCACCCAAGAATCCGCGGACATGTACGAACTCTGAACCATCATTTGTCCGTGCATGGAGCTTTGTCTCCCCAAATTATTCGGACTACAGATGTTATATGATTGATGGGGATGAAGCGAGAGAGAAAAAAAGAAAAAAAAAGTGCTCCGGAGTGAGGGCCAAGTCCGACGTGGTGTGCATTCCAGACACGTCCCGATCCCCCATTTGCCCCGAAATATGAGCTGAATTTGGGTGTTTTTGCAAACAGCTCGGACACATAGGATGATTTGGAGGTCCGGCTGTGTGTTGTTTTTTCTCTCTCTCCTCTTGGGACAATATCTAAGGACGAGTTTAGTTGCCTGCATCGAATCCAATCAGGTCTGTGCGGTGCAGCATCTTTTTAAACCCTGGTTATTTGATTTCTTGCATATACTGTTAAGCCTGCATAGCACGAATCCAATCAGGCCTGTGCGATGCTTCGAAGCGTACGCGGGTGGCTCTCTGGAAACCTGTCTGCAGTTAATCCCCCGTCCCTAATCCTATCAATCCCCTCTCTCTCTCCCTCTGCTCCAGTCGATCCCGTCGGCCGCAGCGCCGCCCTCGTCCGCGGAGTCAGCGACGCTGTTGATCAAGAAGTGCCTTCTTCCAGCGGTGGGGCCGGCCACTTCTCCGCCGGTGTCCCCAGGCTTCCCACGGGCCCAGGCTCGCCGCCTCGGCGCGACTGTGGTGCCCCGACTCTAGAGGCCAAGAACCGCGGCGACGAAGCCCCCCGCCCTTCTGCTCGTGGCGAGCACCAGCGGTTCCTGCCTACAACCGCGAGCCCCGGGCTCGCTCCCTCCGCCTTCCACGCGCTCCAAGGTAGCGCCGACCGTGGTGCTCCGGTCCAAGAAGCCGGCGACTTTGTCGCGCTCCAGGACGCCGCCGACCGTGGCGCTCCGGTCCAAGAAGCCGGCGACTTCGCCGCGCTCCAAGACACCGCCGACCGCAGCACTCCGGTCCAAGAAGCCGGTGCCTTAGTCGCGCTCCAGGATGCCGCAGACCGTCGCGCTCCGGTCCAAGAAGCCGGCGCCTTAGTCACGCTCCAGGACGCCGCCGACCGTGCCGCTCCGATGCAACAAGGTGACGCCTTCGTCGCTCTCCAGAATGCTGCTCGTGGCCCTGTTGGTCTTGTCCGAGGCCCCAGCGAGCCCCCCGGCAACGCCCACGAGACCAACCAGACGAGCGCCAGGAGCCGCGCCGGGTAGCGTCGCCTCGGCGAGCCTCGACCTAGTGAGCCGCACCGTGTCCGGGAGCCCCGGCACAAGGAACGGCTCCGTGGGCGACGCGAGGAGCAGCGAGGCCCGCGACCATCGTCGTCTGCGATGCCTGCAGCAACTCCATCAAGCGCGACTGGACTCATCGCCTCGCTGGTCAAGGAGGACGGCCATGTCTACTCGCTGGCGGCGACCGGGGATGTTCTTTACATCGGAACCTGGCGGTGTTGGCGTGCGTGAGGGCGAGCTCGAGGAGCAGCGAGGCGCCGGGGAGTCGGGCGCGGCCACGGTGCCGCGCATGGAGGAGTCCAGGTGCCGGGCGCGTCCATGGTCACCGGGACCTGGCGGTGGGCATGATGGCAGAGGAAGCTCCAGCGTACTCAACGTGTTTGACGAAATGAGAAGCCAAACCTGGTGGCTGTAAGTTTTGTTGTTAACTCCTAATCATGCATGTATGCAACCAAACATCGGGACAAAATTGCATCTCGATGACATGCCCCCCTAATGCAGGCAACTAATCAAATTGACATCTTTTAGCCCCGTTTTCCCTCACCCAGAACCTGCTTAGACTGGCTCGTTTTCCTTCTAAGTCAAGCCCAGCAGCGAAAGTAACCAAACACGTCCTAGGCTGTCCAACCATACGTACAGGGACAGTTTCAGAGTCCGATTGGAGATGCTTAATATGTAGGCAAAATAAAACATAAAAAGACAGGAGTCTACCAGATGGTACCTTTTTGAACGTCCGGGGGTCCGTCTACTAGCTGTGGTCTAGGGTCATTTTTCTAGAGGGCACCATATGGTGATGTTTCTGGTGTTAACCTGACCCTGACGCCAGGCCCCTCACATGAAGCTCCGACTCATATATGTGTGCATTAACTGATTGATTCGTACCATTCTCAAAAGCAAGACAACCCAAAAAAACTGATTGATTCGTACTGCATGCATGCAGGAGGTCAGAGTCACCAGCTGGAGAGCAGGGCCATCACGATGCTTGGGGGACACAAACGGCAGCGGCAGCGGCAGCAGCAACAACAACAATGGTGCCGCCTTACCTGACGACCTCCGAACCTCATGATAATGAACACATGATGCCGGAGAGCGGAATGGCACGGCCAGCAGCCCCACGCCGTGGAAGTCCGTCACCGAACAACACCAGCAGCAGCGGCAGTGACGACGTCGACGAGACCGAGAGCTTCGGATGGCTGGCGTTGACGCGGCGGCGCTACGATGACGGCGGCGATGGGGACTGTGCAGGCGACCGTGAGCTGCAAGGCGCGGCCATGGTTATGGATCCGAGCCTGGAGATGAGGCTGGGGAGGCAGGGGTGGGAGCAGATGGAGCCCTCGGCGTCGGCCTCCAAAGAGCTAACCCCGATCCTCAAGTGCTTGTGAAATGATTATAATAAGTACTCGTGGGATTAATATGTTGTTGATTAACTATTACTGTACTCAACAAAAGCAAGAGCAACCGTGTGAACTCAAAGCTAGCTAGCGAGCTAGTCCTCTGATCGTTTTCACTGAGTTTTAATTATGGTCTCATTCGCCTGGACAGCCGTTGGATCAAAAGCATGCTGAGATTCGTACTGTTGTGCAGTTGTCCAGTCGCGTGTATTTGTTTGTCCGATGGTTGACCGTGCAGCCCGCTCGTTTATGGGCCTTTTACTCCCTTTTTTTTCAGGCTGAGCTTTGGCCTGTTGCGAACAGTGCCACCAGCCACTGTTTTCTATTATTTCTTCTATACTAATAAATGTGCATGTCAAACATGCGTTAATATTTAGACAATGTAGTAATTGCACACGGATATTAATCGCAATTGGACGCATCTCTAGTGGAGGGGGAGGGGGGCTGTAGTCGCAACTGCACATTTTCGAAGGCGAATCGCGATTGCAAGTTTTTCATGGCTAGTGGCAACTGCATGTTCCTCTACGGTAGTTCTAACTATATGTTTTTGAGGAGGAGGGGGATCGCAACTGCAATTACAAGTTTTTCTATGATACTCACAACTCTAAATTTTCAAAGGGGTCTCAACTGCATGTTTTCTATGGAGTAATGCTAGACCCACTAAAACTTACGTATGATTTTTAAAGGCTGATGTAGATGAAGTTAAGGCTGGTCGTAATGGGAAGTATCTATACTAGTATCATGCATATGATATTAATGTATGATACTACCTTCTTAATCCATAGTATCATAGATTAGTATCATATAGTACTTTATTTATTATCATGCATGATACATAGTAGCATACACTAGTAGAATAAGGGCTTTTAGTTCCGGTTCATAAGTGAACCGGGACTAAAGGGTCGTTACTAAAGCCTCCCCCTTTAGTCCCGGTTCTTACACCAACCGGGACTAAAGGCCCTCCACGTGGCCGCTGCCTGGAGGTCCACCTTTAGTCCAGGTTGGTAACACCAACCGGAACTAAAGAAAATTTTATGAATTTTTTTAAAAAATTTCTGAATTTTTTTTTTGATTTTTTTTAAATCTTTTCCCGATTTTCAAATTTCTAAATTATTTTAACCTTTAATCTCTAATCACCCTCATCACTGCTCAATTTAACATCTAATCTCTAATCACCCCTCATCATTCCAAATCATCTAACTTCCCGGACGGTCACCCATCCTCTCACTACTCCAGCCTGAGCACGCTTAACTTCCAGGTTCTATTCCCCCTCGTTTCCAAGTCTGCACTTGTTGTTTTCCTGACAATAGTAAGATGTCAATCGTATTAACCCTCAGGAGTTTAGCTTGAGCATGAAGTCACATGTTTCACTGTTTGAGTTTGAAACTATTATTCTAAAAAAACAATAATTATTTAGTAACACTAATATTTCTTGAATAAGTAGGTTGACCATAGTTTGACCACGGTTTGACCAGATTTGACCAAAATTCAAAAAAATTGAAATAATTATTTAGTAACACTAATATTCTTGAATAATTATTTAGTAACACTAATATTTCTTGAATAAATAGTTTGACCATAGTTTGACCACAGTTTGACCAGATTTGACCAAAATTCAAAAAAATTGAAATAATTATTTAGTAACACTAATATTCTTGAATAATTATTTAGTAACACTAATATTTCTTGGATAAGTAGTTTGACCATAGTTTGACCCCTGTTTGACCAGATTTGACCAAAATTAAAAAAAATTGAAATAATTATTTAGTAACACTAATATTCTTGAATAATTATTTAGTAACACTAATACTTTTTGAATAAGTAGTTTGACCAGATTTAACCAAAATTCAACAAAACTGAAATTTGAGCATATCTTTTTTTCCTTTTGGAATTTGAGGATTCTAAAAATTTGCAAAACTACAAGGAGGGGGGAGTCATAATTGCAAGTTTTTTAGGAGGCGCAAAACTACACGTTTCTCTATGGTACTCGCGATTGCAAGTTCTTAATGGGGATGTGCAACTGCATGTTTCTCTAGGATAATCACAACTACACATTTTCATGTGGGGATTGCAACTGCATGTTTTCCAAGGCCGATCGCAACTTCAATTTTCTATAAGGTTCTCTTAACTGCTAGTTTTTAAGAGGGAATTACAACTACACGTTTTCTCTAGGGTAGTCGCAACTGCAAGTTTTTAATGGGGTGGGGTGGGGGGGGATCGCAAGTGCATGCTTTTTAAAGGCCGATCAAAAATGTGAGTTTCTCTAGGGTAGTCACAATTGCAGGTTGTTTGAAGGTCAGTCGCAATTGCAAGTTTCTGTAGGGTAGTCGCAATTGCAAGTTTTCAAAGGGGGCGCAACTACACAATTTCTCTAGGGTAGTTGTAACTACAAGTTTTTGGGGGGTGAAGGAAATATGCCCTAGTGGCAATAATAAAGTTGTTATTTATATTTCCTTATATCATGATAAATGTTTATTATTCATGCTAGAATTGTATTAACCGGAAACTTAGTATATGTGTGAATACATGGACAAAATGAGTGTCACTAGTATGCCTCTACTTGACTACCTCATTAATCAAAGATGGTTAAGTTTCCTAGCCATGGAAAAGAGTTGTCATTTGATGAACGGGATCACATCATTAGAGAATGATGTGATTAACTTGACCCATCCATTAGCTTAGCACTTTGATCGTTTAGTTTGCTGCTATTGCTTTCTCCATAACTTATATGTGTTCCTATGACTATGAGATTATGCAACTCCCGAATACCGGAGGAACACTTAGTGTGCTATCATACATCACAACGTAACTGGGTGACTATAAAGATGCTCTACAGGTATCTCCAATGGTATTTGTTGAGTTGGCATAGATCGAGTTTAGGATTTGTCACTCCGTGTATCGGAGAGGTATCTCTGGGCCCTCTCGGTAATGCACTATAAGCCTTGCAAGCAATGTGACTAATGAGTTAGTTACATGATGTTGCATTACAGAACGAGTAAAGAGACTTGCCAGTAACGAGATTGAACTAGATTGAGATACCGACGATCGAATCTCGGGCAAGTAACATACCGATGACAAAGGGAACACCATATGTTGTTATGCGGTTTGACCAATAAATATCTTCGTAGAATATGTAGGAACAAATATGAGCATCCAGGTTCCGCTATTGGTTATTGACCGGAGATGAGTCTCGGTCATGTCTACATAGTTCTCAAACCCGTAGGGTTCGCACGCTTAACGTTCGGTGACGATTGGTATTATGAGTTTATGTGTTTTGATGTACCGAAGGTAGTTCGGAGTACCAGATATGATCACGGACATGACGAGGAGTCTCGAAATGGTCGAGACATAAAGGTCGATATATTGGAAGGATATGTTTGGACATCGGAATGGTTCCGGGTGAGTTCGGGCATTTACCGGAGTACCGGGGGGGTTACCGGAACCCCCTGGGGAGTGTATGGGCCTTAGTGGGAGAGAGGAGGAGGCGTCCTAGGTGGGGGCGCCCCCCAAGCCCAATCTGAATTGGGGTGGGGGCCGGCCCCCTTTCCTTCTCCCTCTCTTCCCCTTCTCTCCTACTCCAACAAGGGAAAGGGGGAATCCTACTCCCACCGGGAGTAGGACTGCCCCCTTGAGGCGCGATATAGAGGGCCGACCCTCCCCCTCCTCCACTCCTTTATATACGGGGGAGGGGGCACCCCATAGACACACAAGTTGATTGTTTAGCCATGTGCGGTGCCCCCCTCCACAGATTTCCACCTCGGTCATATCGTTGTAGTGCTTAGGCGAAGCCCTGCATCGGTAACTTCATCATCACCATCATCACGCCGTCGTGTTGATGAAGCTTTCCCTCGACACTCAGCTAGATCTAGAGTTCGTGGGACGTCACCGAGCTGAACGTGTGCAGATCATGGAGGTGCCGTACCTTCAATGCTAGGATCGGTCGGATCATGAAGACGTACGACTACATCAACCGCGTTGTCATAACGCTTCCGCTTACGGTCTATGTGGGTACGTGGACAACGCTCTTCCCTCTCGTTGCTATGGATCACCTAGATGGATCTTGCATGTGCGTAGGAAAATTTTGAAATTACTGTGTTCCCCAAAAGTGGCATTCGAGCCAGGTCTATGCGTATATGTTATATGCACGAGTAGAACACAAAGGAGTTGTGGGCGTGGGTATATACATATTGCTTGCCGTCACTAGTTGATTCTTGATTCAGCGGTATTGTTGGATGAAGCAGCTCAGACCAACATAACGCGTACGTTTACGCGAGACTGGTTCTACCGACGTGCTTCGCACACAGGTGGCTAGTGGGTGTCAGTTTCTCCAACTTTAGTTGAATCGAATTCAATGAACATGGTTCTTTCTGAAGATCAAAAAGCAATCACTATACCTCGTTGTGGTTTTTGATGCGTAGGTAAGAACGGTTCTTGCTCAGCCCGTAGCAGCCACGTAAAACTTGCAACAACAAAGTAGAGAACGTCTAACTTGTTTTTGTAGGGCATGTTGTGATGGGATATGGTCTAGACATGATACTAAATTTTATTGTATGAGATGATCATGTTTTGTAACAGAGTTACCGGCAACTGGCAGGAGCCATATTGTCGTGGAATTGTCATGGCAGATGTCCTAGTGAAAGGACTTAGTCGTGGATCCATCGCAACTAGGAAGCTTAAAGGGGTTAAACATGACAAAGGACACGAGAGGCTTATACTGGTTCGGCCCCTTGCGATGAAGGAAAAGCCTAGTCCAGTTGATGTGGTATTGCTAGGTTTCGATGACCAAGGAGCGAAATACGCTAGCTTGGCTCTTGATATGTTGTTTCTTTCCCTGAGCCGCCGCGGGTCGTCCCCTTATATACACGGGTTGACGCCGTGCGGCCTAGAGTCCCAGCCGGCTCATACAACGTGTCTGGCTCGATGACAACTCTTACATGCCTTGCTTTACAATTCTTATTCATACATGGCGGTTTATACTTACGGGCCTTAAG